AGTGGTAGACTTAATGAATTAAGTCCTTAATGGGTTAAGTGAGAAACACTTAACCCTAATTATCATTTTATGTGAAACCCTAATTTCACTTGGGCTTATTGTTGGGCCTTTCTATTGGGCTTTGGTGATTGAGCTATTAATGGGTCATCCAAAATCAATCATATGGACTAGAATAATTTACTGGGCTTAAGGGTAGGGCCCATGTAAGGGGTTTAGGCCTAATTTGGAAAATTAGGACATAAATGGGCCATAATTGGGTCATGATGATTATGAGATATTGGACCATTGTAATGCCACATGTTTAGACTGTTGGGCCTTTGATTAAGACCATGTAAAGGTTTGGGCTCAATTTGGAAAACTAGACCATATGTTGGGCTTTGATTCATAGTTTAACTTTTGGACCTTTGGATTGGGCCTTGAGTTTAATCAAGCTAAGATAGGGGTAAAGCAGTCTTTTACCCCAAGCTTGGACTTATGATTTTTGTGTTGGAATCCATATATTAATTGGGTGTTGTTTTGATATTGATAGTTCGAGAAGCTGTCAACCAGAAGCCAAGGTTTCGTTTACGGGACTTCAATAGTGTGAGGTGAGTTACCTTCCAGTAGAAGGGTCTACGGCTATAATGTCGGCCCACTAGTAGGCGTTGTTTAATAGATGGTTGTCTTTGTGATAATTATCTAGGTTTGCTACTCCGTGATATGTTTTATGTGCTAGCATAATATGATGTTATGTGATAGTGGTGGTAAGGGGTGAAATAGTCCTCAGTTACCGGTCGATAAGACTAAAGGGGTAGTTTAGTACCCACCATGCTAGCCAGTTTATGATATATATGATATGATATTATGTGGTAGTAGTAGGGGTGAAATAGTCACTGGTTACCGGTCGACATGACTGAAGGGGTAGGCCAGCAACCATATATGCTAGGCAGTATGTGATTTATGTTTGTATGCTAGGGTTTTATGTTGTAGTGGTAGGGGTGAAATAGTCCCCGATTACCGGTTAAAAGATACCGAAGGGGAGGCTAGCTCCCGGTTACCAGTTGAAAGATACTGAAGGGGTAGGCCAGCACCCAGATATGATAGTCAGTTACCGGTTGAAAGATAACAAAGGGGTAGGGCAGCACCCAAATATGCTAGGCGGTTACCGGTTGAAAGACACCGAAGGGGTTGGTTGGGCACCCAGATACGCCTGACAGTATGTTATTTGTATGGTATGTAGTATGATGGGGGAACTCACTAAGCTTCGTGCTTACGATTTTCAATTTTGGTTTTAGGTACTTCATTTTCAAAGAAAAGGACTCGGCTCGATCGCAATGCATCATACTATGTTTTCCGCACATGAGATCTTTGGGATTACACTCCGATATTATTTTTATGATAACATGTTTGATTGTTGACACTTTGGTTTTGACATGAGCTGTTGTGACAACCGTCAAATTCTGGTCAAGTCAAAGTCAAACAAAGTCAACAAGTCAAACCGGTCAACTCAGTTAACCCTTGTATACTAGGGTTTACGTTATGAAATTATTGTACAACTCGCTATTCTAATGAGAAATCATCAATTGAAAAGTTCGTATATCTAGATTTCCTTAACCTAAAATTGTGGTAAATAATGAACCAAACTGATAAAACAATGTTGCATACTCATCGGGAATGTGTAGGACCCTTAAACATGGCTTAACGGGGTTTATGGCCTTGCATTGTGAAGCCGGACACTCAAAAATATCACAATCGAAACCTCTCTCGATCGTTTTCACTCTATATCTCTCTATTGGAAATCTCTGCCAAATCTCTCTCGAATCTCTCTCAAAAGTTCTTATAACTTTTTGAAATCATTTGGGTCATCCCGACCCTTAACCGGATCAAAAACCGCTTAAAACGGGGAAAAAACGAGTAAAATAGGCTTAAGGACCCAAAACCTACTCTATAGGGCCGAACCCTCTTAGAGCCGAAAGTCCCCTTAAGGACCGAACTGTTGAGAAGCGAAACCCCAGGTCCAAACCCGAAGCCTTCGGGCTCGAACCTCGTAGGAAGAACCGAGCTTCTAGCCTTCTGACCGAACCTCCTCTCGCCTTCGGTCTATTTCGCTTCTCGCCCAAGTTCACTCCTGACCACCTTCACCTTCGGGCTATTTCGCTCCAAATCACCTTCGGCCCAGCAGCAGTAAGGACCGAACCTCGGCAAGGACCGAGAGGCCTCGCTGGAAGCACAAAACTTCCCAGTTTTCGACTATGACTTCGTTTTGGCTTCGTTTTTCATCATTTTAACATGAGATTTTCACACAAAACTTTATTTTATCAATTAAAGCCTCATAATTCACTAATTACCACATGTTTAATGCAAATCTTTTCCAAGAAGAGTGGGTGAAGTACAAGAGGTGGAGTGTTGACTTTTCTTTAGTTTCTGACACAAGCAACCACCCACACCCACTCCATGACCAGCCACACCTCCCCACCATCCCTAGTCACTTCATTGTACTTTTTCCATCATACTCTAGCCATAACCACATTCTAGAGGATGGGAAAAACCCACCTCTCTCCTCACTTCATTCATTTCCTCTCATTCCACCAAAAGATCAAACTCTTTTCTCTCAACTCTCCTCTATCAAGTTCGAGATTTCCAAGGAACTTTCCAAGACTTTCCTTCTCCATTTGGTGAGTATCTTCATCATTCCTATGATTGTTTCACATCCTCCTACTCAAATCATTTATTTCTTACACAAACTCCATCATCTTTGTGTTAGATCCTCGAATCATCAAGGAATCTTCTTAGTGTTCTTGAGTGGAACACTTCTTTTCTTCGACATTCATCCACAGAATCACACAAGGTGAGTTCATACCCTTACATTATCATGTTTTCTTAAGTTTTAGGGGGGGGGGGGGGGAATACAAGTTAAAACACCAAGAACATAACTAAACTTATCTAACAACTTTCATCAGAAAAGTTTAACTCCATTCATGGACTGTTTTAGTCAACTTAAACATTTTAGTTTTCAAAGCTGCACATCTCCATATGATTTTTCTACAGTTCATGGTGATTTTTACAAAACTGCCTATCATTTTAAGAGCAAATCTGGACCAGTCTGTGATTATGGACTTTTGCACACAAGTTGGAGGTTATTAAAAATCATAATAAAATTTATGAACAAACTAGACTCATTTCCCAAACTCTTAGAATTTACGGATTCTGATTTGGACGTTTGATGATTTTTCTATAAATTTTCTAAGAACAGTAATAGAAATGTTAACATTTGAAAAATGCTATCAACTTCATTTGCACATTGTAACTTGCTGAGCAAGGTGTGTATCATTATGCGAATATATGTTTTTACATTACATGTCATTTCGTCTTTGTGTATTGACATACATCATAAAACAAATGGATTTTTACCTTCATAAGTATGTTAAATAAATATGTGGTTGATATTACATATTATTTACCTTAGCTTAAAAGTAGGAATCTTATACAAGGGGTTATTACCAATACAAATAATTATACTTAGTTATGATAAGTATAAGTAAGTCTATTATGCACCTTAAATAAGTATGTCAGACTATAAGAGATCTAGTTAGGTTGCATATACATTACAAACATTTTGATAAACTATAATGGGTATAGTTTATGTCACATTACATTTTGAGCTCATTGCAAGAGGTTTTCATTACATATAAATGGGGTACGAATACAAAGTACCAGGTTTTCACGTTAAGCAAGGTACGGCCATATGGTACCAGGTTATACATTAAGTGAGGTGCGGCCATACAGTACCGGGTTTTCACAAAATGGGTACAAATACAAAGTACCGGGTTTTCACAAAAGGGGTACAAATACAAAGTACCGGGTTTATACAAAAAAAAAAAAAAAGGGTACCTTACAAAGTACCTAGTTTTTCTTTCAACTAAACGAGTTTATGTCAATTTGAACTTGCATGATTTATTTTAAGCATGGAAAATACTTGTAAATTCTAGTTTTGACATTTAAGACTACATTTTACGTAGTAAGGAAAATATTGGATTTTCTTGGTAACACACAACACATTACAAAGAATGGTTTCCAAACTCTTTATCTAAAAAGCTTATGAATTCACCAACTTAATTGTTGACATTTTTCAAAACTACTTGTATTCTCAAGAAATCAACGAAACCAAGTAACCACAAGCTTTTGAGGATGGAACGCTACGGCGTTGAACAACGATTTTTATATCATGTCGTGATCAATCATTGAAATATGTAATACTTGAAACCATGTAATTCTTTTTTGATTATATTTATGATTAGTTGTATTTACTTTGAGCACTATTATACTCGTTGTTATGATACTATACATGAAGTCCGCCACCCCCGGACGTTTCCGCCATCCTTGGTTTGGTGGTGTGACAGTTGTTATTATGGATGTTTTTATACTTATGGTTTTATAAAAACTTATTTAAAAATGAAATTTCTGGCCTTGAAATTTGAGATGTTACAGTTGGCTTTAAAAATTTTTCTTTTTTCCCTTGGACCCTCTTTTTCTAATAAACAATAGACAACCAGTTAATTGTCACATCAATTTGGGTTTTAAAACATCGAATACCAAATCACTAAAGTTACATTTAATGATCCTACCATTATCATTAAACGTGTCATACTTATTGCTTTTTTTAAAAGGAAAATAATTTTTTTTTTATTGAACGTGATGGTTTATGATCATGCCTGGTCAATACAAAACCCATATATAACCTTTTTCTCTCACATGATCTCACCCACCTCTAAAAAACTCCTTTGTTTTCTTAAACTGCAAAATTTCTCTTGTCACTCCTTCCTCTTCTCTTTCAATGGAGAAATTTGGAACTTCTTCCAAAAATCTTGGTGCCTCCTCTAAATCGAAATCGGTCTACAAGACCGCCTCTTGCAACCTTCAAGCAGTACTTGATGCTTCACTGTATGACCTAATTCTCGCGCCACTCATTGAAGCCCTAAAGCACCATGCTTTATTCGTTCCTCTCGCCATAAACACCTTAAATGTTCCTTTTTTCTTACCTTATCAAAGCCCATGATATCGTTGAGTTTGATGATAATCTTGATCGATTCCAACTCCAACCGGTCAACAATGACACTGTGTTTCTCACAAAACACATCTTCCCCGAATCCATTAGACTCCCTAGGTCTGGAATCCGCTCTCGATGGGAGACTTCATCCACTGCTCAAGTATTTCTCAAGATTCTGGATATTGGTCACAAACCTCCACTTGAAAGCACCAACAATTTCAAGAAATCAAGGCTTCCAATCACTTGGAACTTTCTCATCCACATTATCATTCGCTACCTCACCGACAAGACTGGAGGAACTGATTAACTCAACACTTCTTGGTTGCAAATTATTTGGGTAATCATCATAGGAAGACCAGTAGACTATGTTACTTGCTTATGGAATGATTTCAAGGAGTGCATCGATACTCGAAAGACAGAGATCCCTCATGCTTATTTCTAGGTTGTCTGCCTAGATTCTCTTTACAATGCTTCCAAGATACCAGTTGACGAATCCCTAGAAATGGTGGAAACTCGTCAAATGAAGAGATTTACGATTCTTGATCAAACTGAATTTGGGACCTCCAAACGATTACTAACTGCACTTCTGGATCTCATTCCAAAAGATTCATGATGCGGATTTACCAGAACTAGATCATACTACCCCATCCTCGACAAGAACTTTACACAAAGCCTCTTGATGAGATAATAACTCTTAGATTGATTAGATCTTTCACAAGTACGATAAAAGCAATCAAATAGTTTCAGATTAATATGAGTAAGAATACAAAACAGAATCAAACTTATGCTTATGATTCAAACAAAGTCACACCTCAGCAGAGCTCGATGAAGAACTTCCGTTGTAGAGGCGAGCTAGGGTTTACAGTATATCTGAAACAAAAACGATGAAAGCGCTAACTTCTAAGTCTGCATGCATGCAACTTATATACTAAACCCTAATACAAAATTATGCATGGCTGGACATGCCCAATACCGGCATTCAAACTAGGCTATGGATCGAGCCCATGACGCAACCCAATAGACTCAACAATCTCCTCCTTTGCGTCAAATGAGGCAATAGATTATTTCTTCTGAGCAGGCCTCACTGTCTTTAAAACTTTAAATAGTTTAGGAATAATGGCAAGAAGAGTTTTTCGGAATCGAATGTACCACCTTAGCATCTCAACAAAAGGTTTCTTATCAGCAACACTATTCTGGTCACACCTCTGTATGATCTCCAAGATATGCTCAAGACAAGACGTCGAGAAGAGGTGTTTATCAACAAGAGCGAACATACATTTTTGACCTTCGCCCCTGAGAAACATGACCCTGTGATACGTTGAATCTATCTTCCCCTGGATCATGGTATTGACATTTTCAGATTTGCCCATGGTTTTGATCGTTGGTCGCTCGTGTATGGTAGAGGCAATTTCCTGGTCCATCTTCGTTACCTCATGAATGTAGCAAACAAGCATACGCTTGACATGATCGATTATTGGCTGATACTCCTGAGGATTTAGCAGAAGAATGTTGTTGAGGAGTATCCAGTCATGGGGGTTGAGGTTTGGTAGATCAGCAAGGGAAAAATGGTAGACTGAGCCTTCGGTTCCTCGAGTCACCGTGACTTTGACATTAATAAATTTCCATGCTGAATAGGATTCATCACCTTGACTGTAGTTATCTTCTTTAAGCTCCAGGTCAGGTATTGGGGTTGATCAAACTCCAAGAAAAACTCCAGAAGATCCCTATCTACCTTCGGGTCTAGAGAATGAATAGCAACAGTCGAGTTGAAGCAGTGGAAGATGAATTCCTTTCGGGTGATTGGCATGTCGAACTGTGCATCCTTGGAGTTTTCAAGACCGAAGGACATTATTGGTTCAAGCCAGAGAACAGTTGGCTCATCAACTACACATCTCTAAAGCGATTCTTTTGTCCATATAGGAAACAGGGACTTTTTCTTTTCAAGGAGCTCAGTCTCCTTTTGCTTCATTTCCAGCTCGGCTTGCTGCTTCTTGATGTTTTCTTCCAGTTCTTTTTCTGAAGTTTTAACCTTCTAGAAGGGATTTGTAGGATTTTCAGCATAGACATCTTCTTCATTGTCTGTGTCGTCATCACCGATTTTCTTCTTCTTTTTGTCTTTATAAAGCATCGGTCCAGCAGACGGTCCGGCTGATGGCTTTGATCCAGAAGGAGGAGGTTGCGATAACACTTTCTCTCCCCCTTGTTTCGGTTGGACCCCGGTAACCGGAACACCTTCAATTCGGCTAAGAACGTCCAACATTGGTCTGAGTTTGTCCGCCAAATGACGCCTCACAGTGATAGTGATGACCAGATCTTGAGCCTCAACAAGATGAAGAAGGATGGAGTGAACGTCTCCAGCAGAACTCCTGATAACTTCCCTTTCTGACTTGAGGTCATTAAGGGTAGCCTCAGTAGTACGCAGCTTCTGAGTTTGCAATTTAAGCTGGGAGATACGTCGGTCAAGCTCATCCATAATTCGATTCTCCACAGCTAACTCCGCTTCCAGTTGAGTTAAGCGATCGTGGACATTATCATGGAGTTTCTTGTTGGCTTGTTGAATGGCTAGGCGTGCTGCTTCAAGGTTCGAGCGCTCAGCTTGAATAGACTTCTGAAGGTTCTCAACTGAAGCATTGACCATTTTAGCATTTTTGGCAGCAGCACCTTGCAATGAATCTAAAAATATGTGAGCTTCGGAGACTAGTTTATCGACTTTTTCGGTCGCTTCCCTGCATTCCTTGGTGGAAGCATCAACAGCAATGGAGGCCTGTTGGCATTGGGAAGTGGAGGCTGCAATTGCCTTGGCTGCATCGGATAGAGCAGTGTTGTGTTCTGTGACAACCGAGGAGAACAAGGCCTTCAAGGCAGCTTCAGAATAAGCACCAGAGGTAGAGGAAGAGGAGGAAAGCAGCTTATCAAGTTTTTCGTTTACTGCCTTTAAATGACGTTTGGTAACAGGCTCATCGTCATCGTCATCGCTCTGCACTCTGTAAGGACTGAAGTACGTGGAATCAAACTCCAAATCCTCACCTCCCAGTATAGGGGTTGTTTCAGCAGATTGCATAGGAGATAAAGGTTTTGAAGAAGGTGGAGGTTTGGTCATAACTTGTGGTTCGGTTGTGACCGGAGGTTCGGGTGTAGGTGGATCAAGAACAGTAGAGTGAGTTTGTGTGGTAGTGGTGGTATTTGTGAATATGGGAGTGGGAATGGGAATTGTAGTGGATCGTTGAGAGGTGATAATTGGGATTGTTACAGGTATAGGTGAAGGGGGATTGGAGCGAACTGGAATGTCTGGGGTAGGAGAGCGAGGTGGAGTATCACCTCAGCCCGAAGCCTCTTCTTCTGAGCTTTCGCTCTCGGATTCTGATGGAGGAGCATTCTTGTGCTTAGGAGGGACATATTCTGAATCGCTTGAAGATTGCAGAATAAGTCTCCGAGCTGGCTTCTTTTGCTTTTTCGGTTGAGCCTGAGAAGGGGCAGCTTTATCAGTTTTTTGCTTCTTAGGGGTTTGCCCCTTGGTTTGCTTGGTGACCTTTTCTCCCTTCTGTGTTTCAGGCTTTTTGCCCCTCTTGGTTGGCTTGTCAGCCTCTTCAATGGACCGAACCATTGCCTATGTAAGCTCTCTTGGGCTAGCCGATGGATGCTTCCTGTATTGTTGTAGAACATTACTCGACTTAGAAATACGACTGAGCATCGGTTCAGGAATGGAGCCAATAAACGAAAACTTTGATGGATCAGTAACAATGATTTTTGTCGTATGAAAGGTAGCAATGGATGAGAGCAAGGAATCCGCCATTATTGGAACACGAAGGCGGTCCATTGCCCATTGGGTGGTGATAGACCAAAAACGCCCACATGATATTTTAGAATGCCTGGATGAAGAAACCAGGCTTTGAACCAACTGCTGCCAAATGATAGTCCCATAATCTAGGTTAATCCCATGGTACAACCCACATAGTACCGTCATGAAAGATTTGCTTGCACCATCGGAGCCAGCGCTTCGCTCAGATAGTCCCTTGAATAATAACGTAAAAAGGCCATTCCATTGGGGAGGAAGGCAGGACTTCTTGAACTTCGTAATGGTTGTTAGGGTTTCAGTATACCCCATCTAATAGAACATTGAAAAGAATTGACCAGTAGTAATGGAGTCGGGGTTTACCAGAGAGGAATCTTGAGCAAGACCGATTAGGGCACATAATCGATTCTTGGAGATGGAGGTATTCTCATTGTGAAGTTCAAAATGAATGCGTTCACTTATCCTGTCATAGAAGGCATAATAGTAGACAAGAGACAAGCACGACATGGGAACCACTTCAACTTTAGTCAGTGCGTCGACGAGTGGTGATTATTTGAGGTTTGATGGTGAGAAGGGGTTAACGAACTGAGGTATCGTGAACTGAGGATGAGTCTGCCATTGACGTAGCTTGAAGAAGATAATGAACAGTTGCAGAGAATCACCGGGTTTCTTTGAGAGGACTTTGGAAGTGATAAAGGATGAGAGTGTGTCGTTCCAATTCCTTTTATAGGTACACTGAGGAGAGAGAAAAATTCGGCTAAAATCTTGGAATATCTCAAAAATAGTGCCTGAGTTGATGGGTCTACAGCTGGCGTGCCGAGGATGACGCAGGAGAGAGAAAGAAACGTTCCCTTTTTCACACCGTTTCATAAAATGCACTTTTTAAAATTTCCAAGTCGTTTTGATAGCTGCTGAGTCAGCGTCCACTTTAACCCAATCGTTTCGTATGACACTAGAATCTTTGTACTGATAGCGCTTTAATGATCAATCGAAATCATAACTAGAATTTGGAAAATTAAAATTTTTGTGCATAGGGTGTAAAAGATAAGGAAATAAAACGAGATTGTAGGGATCATATGTGATGTCGAAATCTGATATAAAACAATGGATTCTGGGCAGAAATCAGTTCCTTCAATGTCAAGAGAGACATTAAAGTGCTTGCTTGGTTTCCCATGGAATAACGATCAATAACTTTTTGAGAAGTTTTGAAAGGCTTCTTTTAAAGGTTAAAGGTGGTGGCATTTGCTTCAATTCATAATTTCGGTACTTAACATAAGACCGAATTTGAATGAATTACTTTTGAGATCATTGTGATCTGTTGAACAAGTAGGTAGGATAAACTTTATAATGACGAGAGAAAGAGGAAATCTCAAAAAAAAATGGATCTTTTAGGGTTAAAGAATCCTTCGTGAAATGCAAACTTATAAAGATCACTCAAAAGAAAAATAGATTTTATAGGGTAACAAGTAAGATCTTGAATTGTTAGATTCACCATCAATTCATTAGTGGTGTTG